CAATATAGTTCCAAACACACATACGGAAAGGAGTGTACGTTGCATCTCATTTGATTTTATATGAATGTGTATGTGTATTAACATACATGGTAAACAAAAAAAGAGAATGCGCGAGACCAATTAAACAAATATTTAAATGCAATCAAAATAATGAATTGATTAATAAAAAGTGTTACGTTTCAAATATTGAAACAAGTGTTGCCTGCTGATGTCAAATTGCGATTTAAGTAGAATTTAGCACGCTGATACATACAACGAAAGCCAAAACGAGATTTTTTGCAAGCCGCAATTCGTGTGTGTGAGTCGCTGTGTACGTAGTAGGTTGTATACATACATACATATGTACGATGTGCTCTTGTTGTGTCGTTGTTTGAGTTTGTTTTGCAACAACAAAAACACAATTGTAAGCACCTTAAAAGTGGAAGCATTTTGGCACTTTAAATACGCAAATATTTAGTATTGCCGCATCAAATTCACCTGCAGTTTGTTTTTTTTTCGTATTGCACACTGTTTTTGCAACTGTATGCGCGGGTGTCGGTGCATGTTTGTAAGCGTAAGAGAGCGAAACATATAAAATTGAAATATTTTCGCCTCGTTTGTATGTGATTTCTAATAACAATGCCCAACATCAAGTGAAAGTGTTACAACAAACATAATTTAATGTTAAAATATAAACTGCAAAAAATTAAGAAGAAAACCAACAACCACTGTACACATTGCACAAACTTTGGATTACACTGCACAACCAGGAATTAATACTCGTTAGTTGCAACTGTTGCAAATATAAAGGTAATCACCACACATCTGTATTAATACATATACATACATGCATATGTATGCATACAAACGCAGACACTTGTTTCGGGTCTTCTTTCGCACCAGTTTTTTGCTGTCAATTTTATCTCTCCTACCTGCCAATCGGTCGTTAATTAAGTGGATATATAACAAGTATGTGAGCCTGACTAAGAGATATCCTGTACCCATACCCATGTTTTCGCAAAATACAACTATTACTTCATTTTTTTTTATGTATATAAATACAAATGTACATAATACAAATGTCGATAGTTCTGCAAAGGACACTAAAAAATTAAAAACCGAGACTGAAAATCGAGATTGATTGATTTTAGGGAAACGCGGTTAAATTTGATCTGACAAATTTGAAATATATAACTAAACTATCTAAAAAAAATCGTGCTCCTTTTTGGGAGTGGGTTTAAGTATGTAAGATCAGATCGTATTCAGTTTGATATATTTGTATTTCGATAAATACTGAGTTTTTGGTCCATTTCATAGAATTTCTTTTGTTCGCAACTCCCGAAAAGGGCAAACATTTGCTCCTGTTGCTTGTACGCTAAGTGAAACCTATGAAATGGCTTCCCCATTGATTACAATCAGCAAGACAAAAAAATTCCGCAAAAAATTCAAATACAAATACTTAAAATGGGACCAACACGAGCACATACAGCAATATTTACATACATATAAGCATACTTGAATATAAATGAAAAGAAGAAATGTCAAAACAATAAAATAAACTTAAAGAAATGTCCTCCCCAGAAAGCTGTCCGCTAGTAGATCTTTCACTGTACTCGCTTATATTCACATGTATGTATGAATGTATGTACACCAGCCGGTAGACACAGTCGCATTCATTGAGAAGTGACATTTAAGCAATTTTTGTCTGGGAAGGCGAATTTAACGTTTCCTGGTTTAATTGGTGGCTATTGACCGCTTATCGATGTAATGACTGATATATATGTATATGCTGTATGTATGCTTGCTCTAGTGCCAGCTGTGATCATAGCCCCAAGCCATTATTCCCCTTTAATTGATCAACTTTTTTAAGCTTTTTTCTCTCTCTTGCTTCTCCAGCGGCATCGTTTTAAAAAAGGCTTACGAAAGTGAAACTTTGTTGTTGTTTTTATTTATTTTGGTGCTCTACGAAAGCTAATATGTAATGATAAATTCAACGACGACCTTACGCCAGCCACAGAGAGCGCTTATGTCGATGAACTCTTTCAAGCACAACAGTAACAGCATAGCAAACAGCGAGTACGAAAATACCGACGAGGTGCAAAACAAAAATTAACTGTGTGGTACACAAATCTTTACCGTTGTTGTCTCACAACACACGTTCGCCCGCTCGTACAAAGCTCAACTTGCCGACGCGTCGCTTCGGTGCAAAGCTTCACTTATCTGTGTTTTCGTTTTGCATTTGCTTCGGTTTTGCTCTTTGACGCGTTGTTTTTGTTTCAACTGTAATTTAGTTTCGTTTCGCCCAAATATCACGCCATAGTTTATCCTTTGCTGTTTGCTAGTCGAAATCTCACATTATACCCTGTGCTTATTAAACAATTTTTCCTGGCTTTTATCTTTTATAAAAATGCTAGTAGAAGTACACAAACATTTAGGGGTGGGGGCATTAATTTTCCATTGCATTTCATAAGCACAGCTTAAAAGGGAAAAAGTAGCTTCTCCTAATAATAATTGATATGATATGATAAACAAATCAAAATGGCAAAGTGACATAAGCGCTTAAATTGTCTTAGTCTCCCCTTTAGACAAAATTGACCAACATTTAAACAATAATTGTTGCTCAACTGGCACTGACAGAGAGTTAAACACGCGAAGCCAGCAAATTTTGTTTGTTGTCCCATCCAAAAGTCGTCACAAAAGCGAACCAGTTTGGAATTTCAACTAATGATTTCCGATTTAATGTGTCGATAGTCAGAGTCAGTTTGAAACCTGTCGCTTTAAGTCCCCACCTGATCTACTCAGTTTGATTCGAATTCCATTTCTCAATTGGCCACTTAAGAGGCGATCAATTTGAAGAAACCAAAAGGGAATAATTCTCCTTTGGCTACCGAATCCTAAGTACACTAATTGAGAGATCTTGACTAACATATGTATCTTATACATTTCGTAATAAAAGCATAAAACCAAAAGGGAATAAATAAACAGCCAATCAATTTTTGAAACTATCGGTTATTGCTTTGAGCTTTCGTTTTTATATAACGAATATAACAATCGAAAAATGGTTTACTCACTGATGAAGTACCCGTTTCTCTCTGACTGTTAGCCGCGGAGACAGATAGATATAACTACTATAATAGTAAAGCTATTGCAATACTATAATAATATAGTTAAAACTTCCAACAGTTTCCCAATATTATGTATTGCTTGCTAATTTAGTTTTAATACGAATAAAGATACACAGTAAAATCAAATGAAAACTCTTATATTTCTTTAAAAATATGAATTAAAAAATAATAACTTTTAGCCCTGCTTGGTATCCAACGGTGAGGGAAACGAATTAAAATTCAAGTTTAATTTTTATATTATTTTTAAATTAAACAAGGAAAAAATAAAATGCTCAAAATGCAAGTTTGTCTTAAGTCTAAGTAAGAGTCTTAAATGTAACGTTAAGTTCTTAAATTTAAATTTATTCAAAATCGTTTTCATAAATTCGAAACCACAAGGAATTATATTTAAAGAAACGTTTTTTTACCCTTGCAGAGGGTATTATAATTTTGTCTTGAAATGTTTAACGCATAGAAGGAGAAATCTCCGAACCCATAAAATAATATATTCTTGATCAGTATCAACAGCCGAGTTGATATAGCCATGTCCGTCTGTCTGTTTCTATGCGAACTAGTCTCTCAGTTTTAAAGCTATCTTTATGAAACTTTGCAGAGTTCCCTCTTTTTGTTGCACGCAGCTCATATGTCAAAACCAGCTGGATCGGACCACTATATCATATAGCTGCCATAGGAACGATCGGTCGAAAAGTAGGTTCTTGTATGAAAAACATTTTTGTTTATTAAGTTATCTTGACTAAACTCGGCATTTATTAGTTTTACTACGCTCCCCATATATATGCAAAATCCTATTAAGATCGGACAACTATGTCATATAGCTGCCATAGGAACGATCGGTCGAAAATTAAGTTTTTGTATGGAAAATGTTTATGTTTTTCAAGATATCTTGACCAAACTCGGTACTTATTAGTTTTACTAAGCTCCCTATATATATATATATATATATTCTGGATATCTTGACCAAACTCGGCATTTATTAGTTTTACTATGCTCCCTCCACTTATGCAAAATCTTATTCACATCGGGCTACTATATCATATAGCTGCCATAGGAACGATCGGTCGAAAATTAAGTTGTTGTATGGAAACCTGTTTTGTTTTTCTATCTATATCTTAACCATACTCGGCATTAACTATTTTCCCTGTGCTTCTTAGATACGGGCAAAGCACTATGAGCATTTTGAAATGCTTGGGTCTGCAAGGGTATTAAATCTTCGGCGTGCCGAAGATAGCACTTCTTTCTCGTTTACATTGCAATAATGATTCATCTGCCAGCCCGTTTGCCTGTTGAAGTATTTTATTGGACACTGCGCCGACTTTTCTTTTCCTCTTCCCTATTTAAGTGACGAGCACTGTATGAACGGTGCAACCGAATGGTTCGCTTCATTTGTACTTCTGCTGCAATGAGTGTGAGAGTATAAGAGCTGTCCCTTCCCGCATTCCTGCTTGATTACGCACCCTGCTACATTTATTGATGTTGTTTTCCATTGTGCTCAAAGTAGTCGGTCAGGCAGAGCAAAAGATTGTTTATGAGGCGATAAAATGAGCAGCGAGGTTGGGGATCAAATTCCTATGTAGAGAATTTCTGTGGCGCACATGTGCGGGCAAGCAACAAACAAGCGAAAGCCATTGTTTTTGACCAGAGCAGAGCAAATTTCAGATCACTAGACGTTTTTTTCGTGTTTTTGTTTATAAAAAATTACAACATTTAAATGGCCATAAATTGCTATAACAGAGTTGTGCTAAAGTGTGAACAAGGCGGGAGATAAGGAGATACATTTGCCATTTGCCTGACTGTTCAGAGACTATATGTGCATGTTCAGCTCAGGCTTACATTCTCTGTTCACAAGCTAAAAAGCTGTCTGTGTCAAGCGGAAAAATAATTTGCCGCCGCAAATAGTTAAACTTAAAAATTTTTGATTTTTGAAACCTCCCTAACATTTGGCTCTTAGTTCAAGGATTGACCTTTCGTGTAATTTGACGTCTTATTTGTGGAATTAAAGTTTATTTTTGGGATTTTATTATTTACTTAAAAAGTTCACATCTAAACTTTCAGGACAAGAACAAATTTGTCTTCCACCGATTCTGAGGCATATAGGTACAACTGCAACAGTGCGGCATACAATCAAATGAAATGGCTTTTCTTTCTACGTCTTTCTCATGTTGCAATAGGCGAAGAGACGCATGAAGCATGCAAAAGTGAAAGCCATCGTCAGGTGTTTGCATATCACATTCGTATTGGCGGGACCCATGTCTACATTGTCTTCAGTTCCGCTTACCCAAGCGTCAGTCGAGCGGAACCGAAATCCTCCTCGTCTGGTATACAAAATCGATCCAAAGTAAGCTGCCAGAACTTGAAATGCCTGTTCGATGGCTTTTGTTTATGTTTATATTTATTAATATTTTTGTCAACTATACTTCGGAAGCAATCTGAAAAAATGTATATATGTTTATCTCCCACATATTTGTGTGTTTATGATAAACATTTTTAATATTCACTAGTTAAATTTGTATAGTAATTTTCCCTGCAGGTTATCAGACTTTCTGCTTTGGGCCAATGTTTGTTTTCGACTATGTCCAGATTTTCGGGAATGCATGAAATATACCTCATAATATCTGTAGACTTTAAAGATCAATTCATTTTACGTGCCCGTTTGCGCGCCTGGGACGCCCGCGGACGTCTATCGTATATGAGACGTCGGACTGCATTGCGCTTTCGCGGACTTGTCTTGTTTCGTTGCAGGACGCGGCGGAGACGAGCGCGAGTAGAGCGCGCAATTCTTGCCAGGATGCGCTGGAGAGATATAAAAAAATAACACAATACAGTGAAGACTGGTATATGCGCTCACCTGCCTCTGAAATAAATTCTTTTGTCCCTTGTTCAGTGCATCCCACTGCGCGGGCGCCTCCTGCAGCAGGCGCCGGAGCCCAAAACGTGGGTGCTTGCGTTTGAGATAACGTAAAAAGTTTAGATAGGGTAGCGGTGCTACCAAGTTCGGATTGTCCAAAATGTCGTAAGCCCTGGGGATTTCTGTCATTTTAATATGCAATCAACGACAAATGCAGCAGAAACCGAAATATATTCTTAATTTGCCGATAAAACAGTTCATGAAATTACAAATATAGTTTGAAGATTGAACAAAGCGATTCATGCCTTATATTATAGGGTATGACAGCACACATATGCCTGCTGAGAAAGTTTGTTGTTGGGGAATTTTCATAAAATAAATGCGGCTGCAACCTAAATACATAAGTCTGTGTGTATGCTTGCATGCAAATAGAAACATGTCGCATAAAATTATAATTTTTTGTTATGTTTTGTTCAGTTCATAAAAATTCCACACATTCCAGCACCAAATTCCTTAGGCATACCCACACAAAGCGGTAGAGATGAGAGTTGGCATCATCATTATTCTAAAGCTTGGCTGCTTGACATAGAGACTAAGGTATTCTCATAAAGGAATTCATAATATAATATATATATATAGACTTATTTATAAACTAAAAATCAACACACACTCTCTCTCTATCTCTCTCTCTCTCTCTCTCTCGCTCTCACTCTCTTTGTATTATTTATGCAAATTATCATTTACTTTTGCCTTTTGTTATGAATAAATATATAATTAAACAGTGGCGGTCAATATAATCGAGACAACCAGTTTTGCATTGCCTTGTAGAGAATATGATCCACATATCATATTATACCGAAAGTGTGTATTTTTTATTGCATGTGCATATAAAAGGTTCAACTTAAAGCACCTACACTTTAAGCGAAAGTAAATTATGTTTTGAAAAAAAATCAAAGTAAAAAATTCTCAAAATAACCGAAAATGATTTGTCAGCAAATTTGATTATTCGGCAAATAAGTGAGAATCCCGGGTATAAAAGCCTTTCATTGGAGATATTCTGAAAAAAATCTTATGTATCACTCGGATACATAAAATCCGTGTCAAGAATCGGTTCAAAACTATTCGGGGTTTCTTCTCCATTTAAAGAAATATAAATACATACGGAGTTTTTTGTTCGTTACTGTATGTACTCATTAAATAGCTGTATTCAGTCTGTGACTTTTGCTCATTTGTCTCTCAGCAGCTGATAAGGCATTCTATTCTTTATTCTATTCAAATCAATTCAATTTCATTTTCGTCATCTGCCCCGCTCTTCCGAGCAAAGTCCAAGACGCAAATCATTTTCAATTGGCGTGCCCGACTCGCCGACATTTAATACACTGCGCCCGGTGCCATGCACCCTGCATTTGGCTCTCTTGGCTGTCTGTCTTACTGCTACATACATACATATACATTTAATACATATTGCAAGCCCCATTGGCCATACTTACTTTATGAAAGTAAAGATAAATTCTGTCAAGTCTGTTTCCTGTTGCATAGCGTTCGACTGAGTTAAATGCAGCAGCGCCAGTTGCCACGCCGCTGAGGCAAGGGCTTTGTAATGCTGAAATTTCCATCCGGCTTACAAAATTCACATTTATATATATATACATATATATATATATATATATATATAGTATAATTGTTATGTTTGGAGCGTACAGTAATAATTCTCTTTTATATATGGAAATTATTTCACTATTATTATAGCTGTATGCTGTGACGCCATAGTGAGCACTCATTGAATATATTTAGTATCGTATTGTATATGTATATTATACATTCCACTTCCATGATATGTACTAATGTGGACATGAATATGAATGTGTACGTATGCATGGTCTACATTGGTATTTTAATTTTTTTAAATTGTGCAAATCGAGACCTTGCTTTTATTTATATCTCTCTTCTCAAATGCCTTTATTTTCCATATAAGTGAAGAATTTCCTTTGGCTTATCTTTAGACTTTGAATTAAGTAAGATTTGTATTATTATGGGTACTTACAGAGCTTGATAAGAAATAAACAGAAACGTGTAACTCTTTTATGACTTATAGCTAAGCACACTAATTTCTCTTCACAGAATGATTTGTATATTCAATTAATAACAATTACAATAATAATAACTAATCAAATAGACTTATTTGTAAAGTTTTAAATCATTGTATATACTATGCATTTTTATCGTTTTTAAAATCTTTTTTCTTATCTCAATACCCTCAGCTCTAATATCCATAAATCAACTTTTTATTGTAAATGTCAAAGTGTATTTAACAATTATGATATTCGAATGGTTTTCCTTTGGTAAATATTGGAGCACTTGATCAAACAGCACAGCTTATTCGCATCAAATTGTCTACTGAAAGTGGAATTTAGTTAGTTTCACGCCGTGCAATATATCTAGCATTTCATTAATTACAAAAATGCGCAAGCATTTATTTTTAAATGCTCAATAAAACATCTAAATGGTGTTTAACGCATAGTCACGCTTTTCACACAGCCATTTATGGATGAATACTTTACTAACCTCTGACGTTTATCTTTCTCTTATTACGTTTTTGGTTCGGTTAACCCAAATCTCTTGAAAACCATCACCTAACCAGCTTTCATTTGCAAAATTACATGTTTGGCCTATACCTGATGCTAACACTCAGCTATGTTTACCTTGGAAATTTGGAAAATATGCTTTAAAAATATTTAAAAAAAATACATAAAGCAAATACTTTCTCGAACTTCCTAATAAAGTGCCATTCAATTTTATTTTGAAAGATGCTCGATATCAACTCTAATAAAAACACGTTACTTATCTAAAAGAAACCCTTCTGAAATTTGTATCAATGCCATTGAACTTTTGACCTTAAATTTCGATAGTTTTAGATGTAGCTGGCATTCGTCCATATTCGTCCGAAAAGCTACAGCTTCTCAAAAAAAACTTTTTATTTTTAAAAATTCCTTCACTGTTTTATATTTTTTTTGCAGTTCTTTGATGTTATTTAGATATTCAATCTGATCGGATACGATTGGTATATAGAATCGGAGTATCTGGCTAAAGTGCCTTAACAATGCCTTTAACAATTTGTTTTATTTGTGGCCCTAGTCCAGGTTTTACCCTTTACTATCTTAATGTTATTCAACCTGATTTCTACGAGTTCTACCAGTTTTCTAATGTCTCTGGCTGACCTTCAGATTATACAACGAGGTTAGATGTTACGTAAAATTTCGCTGTGGGTCTCGTGAACAGGCTAGATTTATCTTTGCGCACATATATTTGTTTTGTTTGCGGTTTATGAACCACAATTGACAGAATGTAAGACTTAAGATGGTTGACACTAGATTCGAGAAGTATGGAATCAATATTTCGATTAGTTTCTATATTACACAAACATCTTATCGTTCCTATAAGTGCAGAAAGGTAATACGTCTTTTTGAAACTGCGTAGTGGAATATTAAGGCAAAATTGTAAACAATTTTCACCTGTTACAGGCATTGGAAATGTCGCAGCTTGGTTATAAAGCTGCTTCTGGATTTTCAAGTGAAGTCCGCTTTAGTGCGCTTAAATTGAATCGCATAGTTTTCCATTTGCTTTGGCGAAAGCCAATTGATGGAAAATTGCGGATGCTGTTCAGTGGATCCTATCTCCTTCCCAATTGCATTTATCTCAGACCCAGTAATAGCTCCAACTGTGGAACTGTTAGCTGCGTTAGTTTGGATATGGTGATTTCATATCCGCTGCTTAGATACAAACAAACACGCACACACATACATACACACTCATAAACTCCAAACGGTGTTAGCGTTTGGAATTGTGTAAATTTTGCTTGCCGTTTATTTTTGTTATTTGTTTGTTTGTTTGGCAAATTTGCATAGTTAATATGTGTGTAAAAGTGTAACAGCTCTCATGTTGCGCATTAACTGAACACACGCGGCGAGAAAGTGTTGTTGTGCCACAGAGTCGAATATTTCACATATTGAAGACATTTATTTGAAACTAGAGTTAATTACCCGGCTTCGACCGGGTCAATTGAATAGTGTTGAAATGCAATAAAATGGAAAATATATTTGTCTTTCGTGCCCTACTCAAGCGGCTGGTCAAATTAGATAAACTGCTGCGGAATTTGAACCGGCGAACTGCCGCGTATAAGTCCATAGACCTAAACCAGGACTATTATTGCCCGTCTTAGTGCTCACTTTCGACCAAACACGAAGCTTCAGTAAAAATTTCAGCTTTTCAGCTCTTATTGTTCGGTCCGTGCGTTGATAACCAATTAGTCAATAACAGATTTATATATAGTTTAAACGCAGGATTACAAACATGTGGAGCTGTCTGTGTTAGCCGACACCTTCAATTCAGACAATGACCATAAACAGAAAACAAAGGAACAGACATATCCTGCAGGGGCGAAAGAACGTCATCCTTTTAAAACTCACACTCAATTGTGTTTGCTGACCCTCACATTTTATGGCTCACTTGAACCATTCCTCGCCATGTGTTTTAGATTGACAACGCCCTGCTCTCCAGCCCATCTTAATGGGATTAGTATTATTATTAATTTAGGGGAAGTTTATTTTTGTGCATACAGTGAGTGTCTGTACTTTCTATAGCCGATGTCTGACAAGGACTGCATGCAGGCTTTTATTATAGTTAAATTAAATTAAAAATAATTATTTTTAATAATCGTATGCATATTCGGTGGATGATCAAACATGCAGTCCATAGCTTTTACGTTTTGTTTAAAAATATATATTAAGCTTTATTAATTTGAAGGGAGCAAATCGGATTTTAGCCAGATTGGACATGGGATTCTACTTATTCTTTGCAACAAACGGAAACATTGATATAATTATTTGTGTACAAAATATCCGAATCCTTATCTGAATCATGTTTTAAAATTTTAGAATGAAATATACTTTAAACCAAGTTTACGAACCGAACCTTAGGACGAACCATGAACTAAACCACCGAAAATGATTGTTGGATTTTCTCTAATAAAATTTTCATCATTAATGAAGTATAAGATCAAAAATTTCACCACTCATTGGAATACCCTTGCAATTTGCAAGGTTCGTTTTACACATGCTCTTTTAGTAGAATGGGATTATCTAGCAAAGACGAGTTGTCATAAGTTTTTCACTGATTGGAAGAGGCCAATTTATAATAATTTTTGCTTTATGCAGTGTCGAAATAGTATCAAATGTTGAATGTCATATCCCTATCATATCTAAGAATCAACATGGGGCACCTTTACCATATGACCACATCTGGAATGCATGTGTCTAAATATATATGGAAATTGTTAGTTGATTTATTGAATCGAACAAATAAATATTTAATTGGAGGTTGACATTTTTGTGTGCGCAACTACATATTTTTGTTTAATTCTTTTATTTTTATATTTAAGAACAATCAAAAGCAATTTAGCGCTCAGCTGCTGACTGTCACATTCCGCCATAAAAGTAACAGCAGCAGCAACAGAACCAAAACTGCAGCCCACGTTGTTTGGCATTTGGAATGGCATTAGATCCACTGAGTACAACTGGAGACTAGCGAATGGATATTAGGAGTCTGGCTTTAGCAAGAGCAGAGAGGTTCTCCCAATAAATTGGGTAAATATTGTTAAGTGGGCTCTGCGAAACAAAAGTCAGAAAACCTGAAAGAATTTGTTCTAGATTAACAAAAATAAGTATACCCAAACACATGTGAAGACATATGGTTACAATCTTAGTTAATATAAAAAAGTTCATCGTATGTGTGTGTATGTGTAAGCTTTTAAAACTGTGCGGTCTGTGTAAATGCTTTGGAGCATAAAATTATTGTACTGCATACAAATCATCAGCATCGTCAGCAGCTGAAAGAAATTTTCTTATTTGCTGCAGCGTAACTTTCGCAGAGTTTTGGTTGTTATTGTTGCTGGCAAGGCAAAAGAAAATTCAGAAAATTAGTGCACTCGCATACCCAAAGATCTTGCGACCCTCAATTCTATGCAACCAGAACTATGTCGAGAATGCGTCCAAGTCTTGCCCTGACTCCAACTCCAACTCGCCGACAATGCAGTTAGATCTGTAGATGAAAATGAACAGTTAATTAGTTGCATTAAAAATAATTGTTTTATCCTAAATCCATTCAAGATGCATAATAGGTACACTGAAATTGAGTGAATGTATGTTACTTTCAGATGAAAGCAACTTAGATCCTACAACGCGTACGTATATATATATATATATATATACATATCTGAAAGTAACATACATTCACTCAATTTCAGTGTACCTATTATGCATCTTGAATGGATTTAGGATAAAACAATTATTTTTAATGCAACTAATGAACTGTTCATTTTCATCTACATATATATATATATATATATTCTTGATCAGCGTACGTACAAACAGACGAATAGCAACCAGAATATTGCACACATCCATATACATTTCCTTATTTGGTGATCAAAGTATAAAAACTATGAGTCAAACTTGGTTACCGTATGCTAAGCATATTTTAAGATTGCAAATAAAAATAAAATTCACAATTTTAAACATATTTCTCTGTCATTGGGTGCGAATTTATTAAAGCCTTTGAAGAACCTTTTGCAGAAGGTGGCATCAGGATAGGTAAAGAAACACATAAGGTAGTGTGGAAACGTAAGCATTTATTATACGCGCTTCACCCACACATCCAGTGTGATGAATGATTTACAACCAAAAAGGTGTTTTAGCTTGTAGCAGCAGTTTGAGACACTGACTAGTGTGCGATACGTTTCAGATTCGAGTCTTGATTGAGAATTCGATGTTTGTTCTTATATATTCCATATTTAATTGCAGAAACAACATATAGTGCGTTAGATAAAAAGAGAGATTCAAGGCAGTTGAATTGAAGAAAATTGAAATTTGAAGACCACAGTTACTTAGTGCATTGCTGTACATCCGAACGGCCTCAAAAGTTGTGAAAATCTCAGCGTAGCCAAGTGCTGGAAACAAAGAGCTGGTCCAGGTAGGCACAGCAGGTACAGACTTCAGAGGTATGCCTCAACTGGGCACATAAAACAAAGTGAATCGAATCTTACACAAGGAAACTAAACAGCTTCCTAAAAATATTGTTTACGTCGTAGAAATATTTTCAGATGTATCTGGCGAATTTATTTATCAAACAGCTCGGGTTCCAAAACTTTCTATACCTAGCACAGCTACTAATTTGTCAAGCAATGTATAAATCTTTAAATGAGGCATTAGAAATAGTTGATATTATTTTTAACTGTCTGTGCAAGCTTTTTGGAAAGTTAATTTTTCACCCAACTGCTCCCCTGACAATTCTAAATGGTCGGTACTTCTTTTTAAAGGAAAAAATATGTAAAGTACAGTTGTTGGCCGTAAATGTAGAGAACCGCGTTTCGCTGGGTATATTGGGATAGGCAACGGAGTTCATCCAACAGTTTTTTTATGTTTTTTTTTTGCTACTCCCAACATCATCATTCGAAAAGCTGCTAAATCATTGAAGTAACTAAACAACTAAACTTAAACTTGCCTGAAAACAAAAAGTAAAACACAAAACAAATTGCCAAGCAAGACATGACTTGAATAACTAAACTGGGAGAAGCCAGTCAACTCGTCAGGCAATGTTATCGAGGTAAAACGGGAAGCTTACACAACAAAATCAGCATGAGAACAATTCGATCCACAGTAGCCGCAATAAGTAGTCGGTCGCTTGCACAGTCCGGACAGGAAGTCCATACAGCATTATCATGTTGTAATAATATATACTTGTTTGGTTTTTCTGAGCTCGGCTGGAGTTGCAGTTGGAGTTGGAGTTGAGGAGATGGATAAGTTTAAGTTGTGCCATTTCCTAGACGATTCCATTTTGGAAATTTTGCACCGCTAAAGGTTGATTAAAACATGTTTCCGGATATTTCAATTTTATTCGCTTATTGTTGGTTTCCTTGTGGATACCCTGTTACCATTACAAATTAATTAAGAGAACATAGGGTATCCGCTAGTGGAACTTTCACTGCTGGATTATGGGGTGTGTTACGCAAGTTTCCGGACGAAGGCAAGAAATTTTAATTTTATTGCGTTAATTTGTGCTGGGCAGGTGTTGTTTTTCTCTATGAAGATAATTCGGAATCTGTCTTTAAACGACTGTCATTACAATTAAGCAAAGCGAATATTTGAGATATTTGCTAATCCAATCGTCCCGACTATAAGACCATAAATATCAATTTTATTTAAACGATTTGTGTTCGAGAGAGTACGAATACCATGTACCAATTACAAGTATATGGTAGTATATGGTATCTGCACCTTCGGATCTGCTCTACTAAATTAAAGTAAGTGTACCAAGTTTCATACAAAGGCAAGAAATTTCATTTTTATTAAGTTAATCAATTTTTGGAAGGGTGTTGTTATCTCTATTAATTTTCGCATTTCTGGCGACTATTTATATAACCGGTACCCATTAAAAATAGGTTAAGAGTATTCCCTTTGGTATATACTAGTCGAACACTCTCCACTAAACACTCTTCTTTCGTGTAGGGTGTCGAGCAGCGATGCATGTAACCACGGACAGTGTATATTGTGGGGTCAATTTCGAGTATTATTTCTTGCCAGACCGACGACTTTCACGGACCGGGTAGCTCTGGTTGTCTCTGGGTTGCCATGTCCAATCGAGAAAAATAAACTTGTTTTCGTTTGTCTGTGATTCGGAGGCCTTGACTGATTGCTGTGATGATTAATTTAAGAATGTAGCAGGTTCGGGGGTCAAGTTTTGCTACTCTTCACTTTTATGTATGTACCCACCAAAAAGGTAAACAGAGTATTATAAAGCTGTGCAAATATGTGTATAAATGAAACAGGAGGAACACATCAAAAAGTCTGTATATATTATTGTACGAGATGCTAAGTTGCTCTAGCCATGTCCGTCTATCGGTTTTCATTGAGAAGTCAATTTAAAGAATTTCGCCTATGTATTTTTGTTGAGATTTCTAGTGTTTATTTACTTGGTTCTTGGCATTGTTTAGTATAGTTGTTGAACTCTTTGACTCTTAATTGGATCAAGTTCATCAGTAATTATTTAAAAAGCAACAAATTTATTCAGCGCGTGCTTGCAACATCAAGTCTGTCGAGCACATGCCGAATGTCGTCGCACTTGTTGCTCAATTCCCCGACTCTTTTAATGGGTATATGGATATGTGACAGGTGAGCGACCACACGGCAAGCAAAACTAACAAATCCAATTGCCTTGAAATTAGATAGTCGTCAACAGGTATTGCTCGACTGAGACAACTTAATGAAACTTTTGTAATAACACGACGAATTCAAGAACGTTTTAACAAGAAAAAGCCAACGATTTAGGGAAATTCAAGTTGACCGATTCACAGTAAGCAGGCCTATATGCACTTTAAGCGAAAACCTATATTTGTTTAGTTCTCCGAATATATTGGAGCAACATATTGTTGTGATTTTATACAGAGAATTTATATAGTTTTTTATTATTATCATTATAAGCATTACAAACTAACAAGCTTACTTTTCCTTACCCTGAACCCATTAAAAATGGATAAAATAGGCAATATTTTAACGGACAGGAATCTCCGACCATATGTATATATATCCTTTGATTTTCATAATATTGATAAATATAGATTTTAAACTCATAATATTTTTGTTTTTTATAATTTACACAGATTAAGAACTTTTCACATTGATAATAAAGTGCGCGGTCTGCGGCAAGCGTGTTCGGGTTGTCACACAGCCTCGTTGTTCAGTTTCCTACATGTCAGGATTAATTAGAAAACTAATAAGGACTTCAACTGATATATGTTATTTTATGGCTTGTCAATTAAAATGGCCTTAAAAAGATATACGAAATTACATTTCTCTACAAGAAAAAGCAGAAAATGACTTAAGTATGTATTTTATGATATGAGAATTTAGTCTCATAAAACTCAATAGCTCTGAGAGTCTTAAACTCACATATGTATTCCACCTCCCGCGCCCAAAGAAAAACTGCAGAATCTCAAGTGTAGCTGTTCAGATGAATAATCAATTGAATAATCCATTAAGTTATGGGTTCTCTGGAAATGTTCTTACTTATTTTTAGTGCTATGATGTAGTCGATATGAAAAATAGTATAACAAGAGATGAAGCAAAATATGTGACTAACATCCAAAGAACGGTTCGAACATTTTCCGCTTGCCCTGCTAATACTCATTGAAAATTTAAGAAATATTATCTGAATACGCCTTTTGATTCATCAATTAATTTTAGTATAATAAAGTTGACCTGCTCCTCATACAATTTGTAAATTGAAGGTTGATATGCGTTGTACACAAAGTCGGAAGGTCGTCTTTCACACGTGTTGGCAAGTAGACAATGGACAGTTTTGATGGTCCAAAGGTCAACTGAGGGAACGAAGTTAATCTGCTGGCTTAGCGTTCCATGTAGTTTTTTGTTATTTTTTATTTAATTAAAAAGATTACATTCTTAAATTAATAAAATGCGCTTGGCGCTACTTTGAGCCCTTTAATTACGTTGACACACAAAACTGCCTCCGGTCTCAATTTTAATTATATTTTTATTTGCTGTTTTTGACGAGAGGAACCCCTTAAATTGTACGCTCTCTAAGCGGGCCTCATGATTTCCCACGAAATGTGTAACACCATTAAAAATAGATTTTCCTAGTCAGATCGGCAATTTTGCTGATGGTATTTAGATTCAGATTCTAAATATATTTAAACCATCATGCTTGGTTGGATTGAAAATGTAGAAAAAATGAAAACCACTTTATATAAACGTACTAACTGGTAGTCAAAATAAGATCTTCTTTTAACACTTATGATATAATGTACAATCATTTAAGAATCTATATCTTCCGCTGTCGAAAAGTCGACAGCAAAGAGAGCTTGTTGCCGGGATTTCAATTCTTGCGATGCCTGTATTTTTTAATTGGGACGTAATTTCAAATATAAATAAATAATAATTAGCAAACGTTTGGAACTGTGTCTAAACTGCACTAAATGTTCTCAATATAGGGCTAAATAACCGGAATATCTTTCGGTATTATCAGTGAAT